TATATATATATACACACACACACACACACACACACACACACTCTAGTAGTTGGTTTGGTTTGGGAGAAGAAAAATAAAGTATGTCTTTGAATATGTAATAAACAAACCAACAAGGGGGTCACACGATGATGTACATACCCGCACAATCCAAGAACAAAAGATAACACAGCATATCCCAATTTTTCATCTTTAAAAAATGGATCAGTGCCAAATGTGACACCTTCATAGACACATTATATCCATTGCTCATTAAGAGACGTTCAATTTTTTTTGTCACCGTTTTAAAACAGCTCTCAGGTGTGCTTTCATTAAAATAGCCCCAAGGATCAAAGTGATCCTAATCCTGCCAAATGTACTGTTGGACTAATGCTGAACCTGGCTTCCGTTAGCTTGAGAAACCACTGGACTGGATCTTGCCGGCACATTACTGCCAGCATTTGGTTGCATCATCTTCCACATCAATCGGCGGTAAGTTGTCGCTGAGGCCAACTGCTTGCTTCCACTTGTGGAAGCCAAGCCCAGTGTGTGAAAAATAACAGCCCCGCTGACAGTTTCATGGAGCAATCAAGTTACGCATTTCAGACGTTGAGGCTGCTATCTAATACCAATCTGTGAACCCCAAAGAACTAGCTAATTTAACCAACCTGTTCTCAACACTTAAAGTGAGTGCTTGTTAGCATTCACTTATCATGCAGGCAACATTTAATGATCAAGACATGAAAATACACATCAGTTAGTGTTGTGGTGAGGCGCACGACATCGCCAAACACAAATACCCGCGACCCACACGTTGACAAATTAGCCGAGCATTACATTAACGTTGTTATCAGATGCTAGCATTGGTTACACTCAGTGCTAATTTGTACTGGGAGAACTGTAACTGTGGTTACCAGCAGTTTTCTGGAATTTAGTCCTGCCTCACGACTTACTGTACTGTACTGGTTTTTGGGAAAGGGAAGAGTTCACTCTTCTGTATATAATTTAAGATAAACAAGCTATAAGACAATAATGTTGAAAGAAGTTCAAGTAACAGGAGTACTCAAAGGGAGCTTTGGGTTTCAGTGGCTTCGAAGTTGACTTCATCACACTGAGAGATATTGCTCATATTTTACAATTCTTAGGCTTATATTTTTTGTACATAAGTATCACAATATTAGAAACAGCTCTCAGTCTGATGATGCTGTTGCACTGCTCCATTGAATTCAGTTTCAATTTACAAATGAAAAAAAAACGGATTCTCGTAATTGTCGTTTCTAGAGCAATGAACGTCAGGAGACCAAGAGCAATGTGAAAGGGAGTGAGAGAAACATATTCGAGTTGGTTGCTGTCATTTGCAAAATAAATAATGACATGCATATTTTGGATCAAGCGCGTGGTGAAATAAAATATATATACTTTCTTCTCGTGTGAGTATGAGTGTCTCTTGGGCTGATCTGCTGTACCAAACAAGCAATTAGACTGCTAAAGTAATAACATTTGGATTTTCA